TGGCGGGAAGCTGTCTTCTCTCAGCCACGGGACCCGCCTCGCGGGGTTCTGCTCCCGGCGGGCAGGGGCCGCCTCGGGCACATCACCCTCCGCTTCCTCCGTCCCTCGGAGGCCTGGTACTCCTGCCGCCTCTCCAGGCTGCCTTAGCTCACACAGCACTTGTTATGCACACAGACAGGGTGGGCAGAAGTAGGCTTACCGTTGTTCGTATGGAAAACAATGCAGTAATTAATAAACAATAATACAAGAATAAACTCTGTGTTTCAGGTACTCACAACTGTAGGCCTACTTTTGCCCCACTCTGTGTATACCAAAGCTTGACTGTGGCTCCCTCTGGGTGGCAGGGTAATGAGGACATGACTGTGTCTTTATACATATATGTGTGTGTGTGTGTATATATATAATTTATTTATTTTTATATTGTTAAATGTTTTTATTATTTTTAGAGAGGGAGGAAGGGAGAGAGAGATAGAGAGATAGAAACATCGATGAGAGAGAAACATCAGTGATCGGCTGTGTGTATATATACATGTGTGTACATACATGTGTGTGTTGGTGCATGTGTGTGCATGTCTGTGCATGGTGTGCATTGCATGTTGGTGTGTGTGCGCACGTGTTGGTGCATGTGCATGTGTGCATGTGGGTGCATGTGCGTGTCTGTAAGCAGATAGAGAAAGCCGTATGGACTTACCTGCATTCACAGGTACACTGAGGACGATTCCAAGAGACATCAGAGTGGGATAGGTCACAGCGATTCCAAAATTTAACACAACATTGAATGCTGGAATACAGAATAGGAAACGGTGTCGCTCGTGAGCAGCCTGGCTGCCCTCCTCCACGCCGTCCGACCCCAGCTCCCCGACCATGCCCTCGGCTCTGACTCCACGAACTCGGGGTCCTGCAAGGGCTCCGGGACATGGGGATTGAGGACAAACGTCCTGGTTACTCTTTCCCCTGAGCTCTGAAGGGGGAAAGAAAGCGGGGAAAGGTACCCAGTGAGAAGGTGCCAGAAGAGGGGACAGGCCTCCCTTCCTTTTCTTCCTCGGGCGGCAAGGACTCGGGCCGACGGTGTGAGCAGGGGCTCTGGGGTCCGCATTTATAGACCAAAGTAGACCAGGCATCTCCTGGGTGCATTTCTGCCTGGCACCGGCCTTTTATCAGTAACGACGATGACATTAGTAATGATGATAACTGATAATATTTTTTGACCACTGACACCTATCGGTGCTCCATAAACATCATCAGTTCCAGAGCCGATCTCTATTACGATGTTCTGGAGCCCGGCGCGTACAACTTGCAGGCTCCTGTCATCAGCAGGTACCGCGGCGCCCTCTGGGCTGTTAGCTCGCCACTCAGAGCAGCGGTGACCACGGGGCCACTGCAGCCACCGTGGTTCTGGGATTAGAGTCCAGGGTCCTCGTCGCAAAGGCTCTGCCTCGGGGAACAGGGCCTCGCGGGAGGTGAGGAAGCCCGGGACTGTCGCCCTCTGGGCACAGGCTGCCACGGTGCCCCTGAGCTGCGCGGGTCCCTCTCAGTGACCGCACCTGGGAATCTGGCGGGAAAGCGAAACTTACTGAGTAGGAGGCCGGAGAACCCGCAGAGGTTGCCCCAGGGGATGTCAGCGAAGGGGCTCCAGTACTCCACCCCCGTGAAGTAGAGAATCACAGGGACGCAGGAGACGAAGAGGACATTGAACACGCCCAGGACGGACAGGAATAAGGCGGCTTCTCCGAACTTCGCGCTGCCCAGGAGGAGCTTGAACAGAACCTGCGGAGGGAGCAGAGGGGGCTGCAGGCTCCGCGGACTCCCGGCCGCAGGTGGGGCCAGGGCCCTGGGCCTGGGCGGGACCACGGGACTGACAGCCATCGGCGCGTGGATCCTACCGGCGGGGCTCTGACCTGCGCTCGGGGCGCACGTCACAAACCTAGTGACATCACAAATCTCAGTGACGCCACAGCGGAGCGTGACTTCCCGGCTGCGTGGAATCAGGGGTTCACACTCATCTGTGTCCTATTCACAACACCGCACCCCAGCTTCAGAGCGTCTGAAGATGAGGCAGCCACGGTCACACATTCCTCTCAGGGGCCCTACGAACTGATCCCCGCCGTCCCGCAGCGCAGTGTGGACGCTGCCGCCCGAGGCAGGGCTCTGGCTGCTGGACATTTCTGTAAACCGGAGGCGGGGAGAGTCTTACTCCCCACTCTCCTGCTCGGCCCCGACCTCCCGGACATGGGTGGGTTTGGGTGGAGGGCACCCAACTTCGATTTCTTGCACCTGCACATGTGATGCCCTTGGAAGCCCAGCAGGAGGGGGGCAGACGGCACTGGAGTGTCCGGGGAGCTGACCCTGGTCCAGCCGTGTGTCCAGTGAAGGACAGCGAGCTGCGGTCTAATTTGAGTCTCTGCATGTTTGTCCCCTCCGCCCTCTCCCTGCGTCTTCCTGTTTCAGCCTTTTCAGACTCGGGCACTTCTGGCTCCATGTGCAGGAAGCACAGGGAGGGAAATAAACTGCTCTCCGCCCTCCACCTCCGGGCCCTCTGGACAGAGACCAGCGGAGGAGATGGAGACGGAGCGTCCACCAGGACATCTGTGTTCACTGGACGGCGGTCCGAATGAGCTCTGCTTCCCATCCGCACACAGCCAGTCGGGGGCAGAGGGTGGCCTTCGGATACTGTCCACTCGGATGGGGACTTGTTAGGGGCGGGAGGGAGAAACAGAAGAGTGGGGACGAGCTATATTTGTAAGAAATATTAACCATGCTCTGTTAACCGAGACTGTTTTGTTCTGATCAAAGAACGCACATTCTGGCCTGGCCGGGACTTGTGTGCCCTGGACCAGGGAGTTAACCTCGAACACAGTCCACTCTCCTTATTGGAAAACCGCCCGTCCTCATGGAGAGATGAACCACCTTGTTGCCGAAACAACGGGGTCCCTGAGGCGCCCGCCCTTTGTGACGCCCTCCTGCCTTGCCTGTAGCCTGACCGTTACATCCACTCCTAGTCATCGGTCCACATCCCCAGGTAAGCTTTGTCCATCTGCCCGACATACGCAGCTGGCTTAGTGGAGGGGGGTGGGTAGGGAAGATTTTTGTGGATGACCCGCTGCTCTCCCATGTTGCCGGCAATACTGGAAAATAAAACGCTCATACACAATTCAACCCTGTTCCTGCCTAGTTGGCTCAAGTAGTGACAGGCAGCCTGGACCCGTTTGCTCTCACTTTCAGCTCTGAAGTCTGAACGGCGCCGGATGAGTTTCAGAGGCGCAAGATGAGGTGTGGGCCCTTCTGGGCAGTGAGGGGGGGCTCACGAAGGTCGACGTAGTTATTTCACTTCCCAAAACCACAGAATGTGTTACTCACAGAGCTGGGGAAAATGCTTTTCTTGTCACTTTCTAGAGTACTTCATTTTCTCTGTCCTTAATTTTCTCTGGATCCACAAAGGGCCAGTAAGTCTCCAAGCTAAAATCTCATTTCTCATTCAGTCCTTCAGGTCAGGTTCCCAGCCTGGAGACCAGAAAATATTTGCATTCTCCCTGTGGCTCTAAGGGGACCTAGAGGGAGGGGAGGGGGAGGCGTGGGGAGAGCAGCCGGGAGGCCTGAAGGAGCCGGAGACGCGGCGAGGGGCCAGCGTGCGGGCGGGAGTCATTTCATCTAGAGCTGCGGCTGGGACACTCGGTCAAACATCTTCTAACGTTTTGTAATGATGTGTGCTTGAAATGCACACGGATTCATGCTGAGCACCTGTGGCTGCCAAAACCATGTGATAAAGATTTAAATGACGAAGCTGCACCACAGAGTGAAGCCTTCTTTTCGGATCTAGTGGGAAATTATTTTATCAAACACTGAGCTGGCCATTCAGGGTCCCTGACCCTTTTCCAGTCCTCCCTGAACAATGACATCACTAATCTCACGCTGAAGATCCACTGTCACACCCATGTCACCCCAAATGCTGCAAAGGTTTGGCTGCTGACGGAAAGGTCTGGAGAGATAAAGCCGGGCAGTGCCAGCCTGGCAGAGTCTCAGCCTGCCCCCTGCACAGTGAGCGGAGCTCCTCCCAAGGCCCGGGCGCCGTACAAGGGTCCCCAAGGTGCTGAGCCGGCCACGCTGAGCCTTACCTTGTAGAGGGCGGACATGGACGCGGAGCCCACCACCAGCGCTATGCCGATGACAGAGTGGCTGTGGAAGCCGTCCGCGTAGGTCATCATCACGATCCCAGCAATGGCAAGGATGGCGGCCACGATCTGCAGGGAGGAAGGACACGGTGGTCAGGGCCGTGGGGGGAATCGGACGGGCCGCCTAAGTGCCAGTGAGGTCGAAATGTTCCTGAGTTCAGTGGCTGAGGGGGGAGGGGACACCTTTTCCGTCCTTTGGAGAACAGCAAGCAAAGGCTGCCCCATCTAATCTTTCGTTCCTGCTTAGATGGCGACAAAGCCTGGCACAGCCAAAGAACCCGAAGCAGTTGGCAGCAAGGAGGGCGCCGTGGTTAGCATCACATGGTGGCCGGCTGCGCTCATTCTTGGGAACTTGAGGAGGCCACAATCCCAATGATGGTATTTGGTCATGACAGGGCCTGGCAGATGGCACCCGGACAGCACCTGGCAACTCCCTTAGGTCCTTCCCAACCCCCTGAAAGGCCTCATATGATCCTGCTCCTGTGTATTTCACGCCTCATCAGCGGGCACAGTGAGGACCGCAGGTCTGGGTCCCCTTTCACACGCCAGCAGTAGGGTCTCCGACAGGGCACGTATCACCTGCCTGGCAGGGCCTCAGACCCTAGAGGTGCCGGTCCCTTGCTTAGCTGCTGCAGGTCCCTCCCCCTCAGCTCACTCAGCCCTGATTTTGGGGGTACGGACCTCAGATTGAAGGGGAGCACCAGGGAGGGGTTCACATTCCTGTGTGCAAAATAAAATCACTGGAGGGCACAGGAGATCGAGGACCTGGGATACCGTTTCCCAAAGGAGAACTGTGTCAGCTCGAAAGGCAAGTCCAAGCTCTGATCTGAGGGGTCACGGAGCCCCAGCAGTGTTGCCGGGGACAGTGGGACAGCACAGGAGGGCAGGAAAACGTGTGCAATACAAGCTTCAACTCCTGGATTTACAGAGTGTTTTATCTCTCTACGAACATTCAAAATGGACCTCAGCTCTCGTTAACTACATCAAATAGCTGACATTTACTGAATGGTCCTGGGACAGGCGCTTTCTATGCATTTTCTCATTAACCCTCAAAAATAGGTAGACATTTTCATTCATTTCATTTTATAGGCATGAATATGGGCTCAGGGAGGTTAGGGAGCTTGCCCAACGTCACAGAGCAGGAGTGAGCAGAGCAGGGAGACAAATTTCAGGTCTGCCTGACTGCAAAGTAGTATTTATACACACACACGGGAAAGTGATTCACACAGGAAGCCACTGCCGACTGCGCTGTGAGGTCTGAACTGAAGTTTCCTCCCTGGTTTAAATGTCAAGTTGTTCCTTAAGTGAAGGTAACACAGTTGAGTCTCCGACAGTGCCTGAGTCACAGACTTATTCTGCCACATTCTGATGTAACGACACATCGCCCGTCACCCTGAGGCTCCCAAGAGAGCGATCGCCCTCCACAGCCGAGCACCAGCCCCGCTGCTGCTCTCAGGTTTAGCATTTTAGCCAGCGCGGCCTTCTCCTCACACGGCAGGTATGCCACCTTCAAATGCCACCTGCCCGGTGGACAACTAGCTCTCCAGTAAGAGAAACAGAGCGGGCGAGTCACTAGCGATTTCCCCCGGATCAGGAAAGGACAGGAGGAGCAGGCCAGCAGGGGCAGGCTCTGCCCAGGACCAGGTCCTGCGAAGGTGCAGCTCGGGCTGGCCCAGCGTCAGGGTCCACAGAGACGGGGGCCAGAGAAAGGAGGGGGCGGGGAGGGAGGCAAGGAGCTAAATGTCAGACGACCTGGTGCATCTCCGAGGCCTGATGCCGGAGGAACTGAGGGAGCAGTTACTTTTCCCTGGAGTCTTCTAAGCTCCTCCTCTCTCTTCTCTGCTGATTAAATAACAATCAGCTGAGAGCTCCGCCTGAGCCGAGGTGTGCGAAGAGCTGAGGGAAGGGGCAGAAGTGGAGAACATGGTGGCCCCGGCCTGCCGGCCAGCATGTGAGAAGCCCTGTCCCCCGAGTTCATTCCGACAGGTGGCACCGGGGGACAGTGATCCCTCATTCATGCTTCTGGAGTGTCCTAGTACAGTCACCGATCGACGGCTCTGGCCATGGAGCACCCACTCTCTGGGCATCAGCTACCCCACTGGGACCCCAGCTCTGGGCCCCCGCCTCGCTCTCAGCACCCCCCACAGCAGAGCGGAGGCGAACAGACCCTTGGGCTTGGGGGTGGAGCCTGAGAGGCCTTCCTCAAGCTCCTCTGAAGATCCCAGTCCATCCCTAAAACAAGTACGTTTTACACCGTAACACACCTGGGGCTGCACTAGGATGAACCTCTGGGAAGGCTGCTCACGCCTGTCCCGTGGGCCCAAAGCCCTCACCTTCCAGAGCCAGGTGGCCCCGTCTGAGAATGAAGTAAAGAGCTGGATTTCCCCAATTCCCCACGCTTTCCTGTGGCCCCCGCCTCCTTCGTAGCCCACGGAACTGTCCCAGAACAACGACTCGGGGATCCAGACTGACGGGGCAGGCAGCCATGAGACCAAGGGGGGTGAGCACCGCCGCCTGGACTTCAGCTGGGAAAGTCGCCTGCAGAAGAGGAAACATGGGCGTGGAGCCAGCATTGTGCCATGTAACCTCCAACGGTGGCCTTACCCGCTGTGGGCTCCACCACCACACCCCGCCCCGCCCTGGGCTAGGGTTCAGCACCCCAGTAACTCACTGCATCCCCACGGGCATGGCCACACCCCCTGCACGACAGAGCCCCCTTGTGACAGATTTTAGATATGGACGGTTTTAGAAAATGAAAAAGGGAAAGAACAGACTAATTTTTAAATATACTTCCTCCAGCACTTTCCCTTCCAACTCCTGGGCTGTTCTTATCGACTCAAAGAATATCAGCATCTGGAGGGACTTTGGGAGCCTCTAGTTGATCCCTACTGTAGAGGAGACTGGAAGGGGCCGGGCTGTGGCCCCCAGGGCTGCCCAGGCTCTGCGATCTCCCTGTGCTGGGCTTGGCTGGCAGGGGACAGCCTCCCTAACAGAGGGGGTCAGGGCCAGAAGCTGGAGTCCCGGTTCAGGGTCGCCCCTGTGAAACCCTGAACGTCAGCTGGAATCTGACCGAGCTCGAGCCGGCCGTGGAAAGTCCAGGACCCACATGGATGACCTCAGCCGGTCTTCCCGCTCCTTCGTCAGTCCCGCCTGGTGCAAAAGCTCGCGCTGTCCTGGGTGGTACGAACAACCTCTGAACAGCCAGACAGACCCACCTCCTGTTTCCCCTGGGATGTGGGCTGGGCGGGTTCACCCAGTCACCTTTCCTACACCAAACTGCCTCCTAAAGGCCGGAGGCTCTGTCACTGCCAACCAAGGAGTGGGCTGAGCCCCCTAAGCCCCGTAACGGAGACGGAGACAACACTGAGCCTTGGGCCGGGCAAGCCTCGTCTTATTCTCACACTGGCCCCGAAGGTGAGTGCTAACACGCCACTCTGAAATGAGGTCACTACGGCTCAGAGGTGCTAAGTAACGTGCTCCAGGTGAAACAGCTTGTAAGACGGGAACCAGGGTCCTAACTTGCCTCTAGACTGGTGCCTGCTGCATTGGGATCCCTGAGTCTGAGGAGCCAGGAAACAGGGAGCACATGTGAGCACAGGGTCACAGACGACACAGGCCAGCTCGGGCTCCTTTCCAGTCACCTCCGAGGCCAAAGCGGCCAGGCTCACCCCGGCATTAGAAGACACATTGGCTTCTTTCTGGTCTGACCCTGTGACCTACAGCCTATCTTTCCTGTCCAGTCGCATGACCCGCACCTGCTGATGTTTTCCAGGACCGTGGCCCCTGTGAGCTGAGTAACTGTCTTAATAACACGAGTCCTCTCTCCAGTCCACTCCACAAGCCAGCGCTCCGCTCCTTTACGTCTGGGTGACTCAAGCTTGTCTGCTCACCCTCCAGGACAGGGACAGCGTCAGTTCCCTCCAGTCCTGGGAAATGACCGAGTGGAAGGTGCTGGCTACCCCCGCCTGTGAGAGAAGTTTAGGAGAACCCGTCACCAGGCAGCTATTATCCTGGGCGTAATCTCCGCCTGCTCATCAAGGGAAACTCTCAGTCCTCCGGCCCTGCTGGTGCCTCACAGATGTGCTAGCTCCCTGCACTCCTGGAACTGAGAACAGGGAGACCTACCACGACTTAGAGCGGGAGCTCGGAGACGACAGGCCACATCCTGCTAAGAGAGTGATGAGGATTAGGGACGATCACCAATGCCGGCCCCTTGGACCTCTGTCCCGGCCTGGCCTAGAGCCGAGGCTTCAACACAACACACTGCCCCGTATTCGGTGGTCAGCACAGACCAACCCGACCGACCTGACCACGTGGCTGGGGTGGCTCGACTGTATCAGCTCAGCTCGTAGCCACGAAGAACAGCAACGAAGAAAAGACCTGCTGTGCCACGTTGCTCTCTGTGCGTCCAGGGGGGTTTTCAATTATTTTCACACCTCCTCAGAGCATTTCTGTCTTACATGCAGACTTAACCCTGAAAGTCTGTCTCTTCCCAGCAACAGGGTCCCATTTGGAATCTGCTCTGGACGTCAGGCTCACACTGGAAAGTTCCATGAATTCCCTTGGCTCTTTGCATCAAAATAAAGTCACAAGGGGCACACGTTGGTGGCCCGGTCCCAGGACACCACGTCCTCAGTGTCCAGCCAGGAAGGCCACCTGGGTGACTGCCGGAAGTACCTGCCTTCCTCGGGGAGATGTATCAGATCATTTATTTGCTGAAAACCTTTTTGGGTGACAGCACAGTTTTTTATTCCAAAGTTAACACTAAGCCTCAAAACAAAATTCCCCCCTCCTGCGACTAAAAATACTGCTCAGCAGTTGACTCACGTCCCCACTGCTGCCTGAGTAACTAGGTGGGTGTGAATCTGCCATTAGCGTGACGTCATTACTCCCAGGACAGTGAGCTAGGGACACAGTAGAGGGCCTGGAGGTGGTCCCCCGCTGGGGGCCAGCGTGGTTCACTCTGATGGGACCGGCCATGCACGGGGCTCTTCGCCTCGTGTCCGGCCTGCGTGATCTCGGGCAGGAAGGAGTGAGAGATGCTCTGACCACGAGAGAACTAGCTGTGTGGTCCCACCCTCTTTGCCCTTGTTCACGGCAGGGTGACAGGGTACTAGCAGGTCCTGGCCACCAGGAGGAGACAAGCAGAAGCGACCAGGACTCCATCAAGGCTAACTGTCCCCTGGTCCTTTTACTCAGGACGAGCCCCTCTATACTTCGCCTGGTGTTTGATCTGCATTTACCGTATTTCATACAACTGCGATAAAGCTGGACTAGCTAAATCTCACTAGATTTGAATGGAATTGACTAAGTCTCGGTTGTAACGAGGTAATTCAAGGGATGGCATTTCACTGCCCCTTGGTCTGGGGCGTGAAGTGACTGTCCTTCCACAGTTTGGATTTAGCACAGGTGTGCTGGGCCCTGTTCGTCCTGTGCACACGGGCCAGCAAAGCGCCGGCCAGGACTGCATGTGCCGTGCCCGCGGGGAGCCCTGCGGCCTGTAGATCCGTCCTGAGCAGAGCAGTGACAGTGTTAGCAGAAAGCTCTGGCTGAGCACGGGGAGGGGGCGCACCACCATCCCCGGCTGGGTCTCCGACTGGCACACACTTTAGGGAATGCTTGTTGAGATGCTTGAAATGAAAGGTGCTTTAATGAATGCTTGTCTAGAATGGTTTGCAAGCAAGAAGGTTTGCAAGGCACACCAAGAACCGGGCCCTCTGCGGGCTCCTTTTCTGCTGCAAACAGGAGAGAGTTCAGCAGCTCAGGCCTGTGGTCCAGCACATGGAGCTAAGCAAGCCGATGGGCAGGTCTCGGTCGCATGAGTGAGGGAAGGAGGCGGAGGAAGGGGACTTACCCTCACGCCCATGAACCTGTCCCTGAGAACGATCCATGAGAGCAAGAACACAAACGCTTTGTTGCAGCAGAAGAGCGCGGAGGCGTCCGTAGTGTTTATTTTCTTTATTGCATGTAAGTACAGGTAGTTTGTGAGTGTCCAAAGAACACCAAAGGGTGCTGCCTTGGTAAAAAACACCTTCAAAGTCAAGCCATTGTCTCCAAAAAACCGACAGCATTCCCTAAAACAGGAAAGAAGGCAGTGTTATTATATTCGTATACTTCCCTACACCCCGTCTTTTTTAAAGCAAATACAGGAAGGGTGGGGTCTTTTATTTGCCATTATTATTTATAAATATCTCTCCATCTCTTCAGCCTACAGCTTCAGTCCATGGGAGAAAATGTCGCACAATGATCTGACGTCACGATTATCTCTGTGCCTGTCAGGTTTGCCACTGATGGTTCAACAGGTGATGCTGGGATTGTGGGACCTGGAGAAGGCCCAGCTCCATGGGAACTGGCTGAGGGACTCTGTCACTTGCTCAGAAAGAGAAGGAGCTTACTAGTCACTAGACTTTTTTTTTTAAGGGGGAGGGTTGATACTTGAAGAAAACTCAGCAAAACATTTTATGAAAATTTGTCCCAAACTGGAATTGTCTTTGGATGAGGCAGGGCACTCGTTCCTTGGGGTCATCTAATTCATTCTGGCTACAATACAAATAGCATCAACTATCTCTACATTTCCCACTCGAGCCCGTTTTCAGAGCTCGCCATTCCACTGCGTGGAAGGTCACGGGGTCCCCCCGTCTCAGCGGCTAACAGGAGGAAAGAGCAGATCCAAGATGACTTCGGCCTCTTGAGAGAGGTGAGGAAGCACTTGCAGAGGAAAGCTTCTCAACGCCCTTCTAGACTCTAGGGGCAGGACCATTGCTAATGAAAATCCACTTAAGAAAAATAAAGCCATACGTCCACATGCAGAAGACGGTAGAGGAGGCCGTGGTGGACAGCGTGGAGGGAGCCCTGAGAGGAGCTTGGTCCACAGACAGCTCCCCGCTGTCCCCACTGTCAGGGAGCAAAGATCACTGCTCTGCTGGGCCCGACGAGCCGGGCGAGGAGATGGAGGAGCAAGGATGACCACTCCTACAGCCATCGCCCCCCTACGGTGGTCACCACCCCTCCAGCCATCACTGTCCCTCCAGTTATCACCACCCTCCAGTCATCACCTTCCTCCAGACATCATCCCCCCTACAGCCACCATCCTCCACTACAGGCATCACCCTCCTACATCCATCACCCCCTACAGACATCGCCCCCCTCCAGCCATCGCCCCCTCCGACTGTCACCACCTCTCCAGCCATCACTGTCCTTCCAGTTATCACTACCCCCCAGTCATCACCTTCCTCCAGACATCATCCCCCCTACAGCCATCATCCCCCACTACAGGCATCAACCCCCTATATCCATCACCTCCCTCCAGCCATCACCCTCCTACAGACATCACCCCCTACAGACATTACCGCCCTCCAGCCATCGCCTCCCTACAGACATCACCGCCCTCCAGCCATCGCCCCCCTACAGACATCACTGCTGCCCCCAGCCATCGCCCCCCTACAGACATCACCACTGCCCCCAGCCATCACCCCCCTACAGACATCACCGCCCTCCAGCCATCGCCCCCCTACAGACATCACCATTGCCCCAGCCATCGCCATCCGGTCTCTCAGACAGGGGCCAGCACAGCTGCTGTACCGGTGAGTGAGGATGGGAGCTGGTGAAAGAAAAGACGTAGACCTAGAATGAGACAATAAACTAGGGTGGGAGCAGCTGTGGCCTGTGTCACTTAATATCAAAATGCAAGAGAAAAGGAGAAAAATTTTTTTAAAAAGGAGAGCAGATTTGGTCTTTTAATTTAATTTTTTGTTCTTACAATCAATCCACAGAAAAAACAGAAAATGCACCACCTTTCCCTGGACTCAGATCCTACATTGCTGCTCACAAACCAGCACCAGGTGAAACATTCTAACCACTGCATGGACCTGGAGATCAAGTCAACCGAGTTGATTCCCTTTTGGCTTTATATAACTGAAACTCTCACCTAACCAGCAGGTTGGTATTTCTGTTTGCCACGTAATTTTCATGCAATATTTCAGCTGTATTTTCTACCCAGGCTGGATAGAAGGGAACCATCCTTAACTCCCCCACTTTTCTCTCCACATTAACTCACCACCAAGGCCTATGGACCATTTCTCCTCAATGTCTCACCCCACAGCCGTTACCCTGGCCCAGGCTCCATCTCCTCTCCCTTGGGCCACTGCCACTGGAGCCCGGGCTTCTCTGTGGCCCCTTCAACTCCATCCACCCCACTCTCCATGCTACAGTCAACTTGTCTCCCCCTCACTGTCCCACAGGCTTCCGGCCCTTCCTGACCTGGCCTCAGCCCGTCCTTCAGCTCTGGCCATCACCCCTGCTCCGTCCCTGCCCTGAGTCTAAGCCACCTGGGACTCATTTCGGTTCCATGAATTCAATGCCCTTTTCCCCTGCTCTAGGTCTCAGTGGAGCCTCTATTCCCCTTTCCTGAAACACTTCCTTTTTTCTGCTTTCTTTCGTTGGTTTCTTTCCATCCATTGGATATCAGCTTATATATCCCCTGGATTTCTTATTTTTTTGTCTATGTAGAACTGGGGCTGGTGATGTTCTGCAGAGATATATATCCGCATAAAAGTTCCACAAAGAATTGGCTGGTGGATATACTGTGATTTTCTCAACCCCAAATTAAAAATCTGCATTTTGATCTAGCAAAATGTATATTTTTCCTAATTTGGCAATTTATCTAGGTACAAAAATTAGTACAAATACAAAAAAAAAAATCAAATTATATTTAAATATATTGAAATAGTCTTTGGTTTTAAGAATAAAATGATGAGTTATTATTTCCCGGGAAAATACATGGGGAGAATACATGGGGAAAATGCTTAGTATCCCAAAGAAAACTTTTTTTGCTCTCTCATTATACTGTTTTCTAGATACCTAAGATTTCTTTTTTGGGACGGAACTTAATATAGATACAGGGGTTGGCAAAAGTAGGTTTACAGTTGTGAGTATGTGAGTTTATTCTTGCATTATTGCTTATTAATTATTGTATTACTTTCCACACAAACAACTGTAAACCTCCTTTTGCCTGCCTCTGCATAATGCAACAATGGTTTCAGGAATTCTGCAATGACTAAAGAGGAAATAGTGTTCGTAGTATTATTTGATATTCGCCAGGTATTTATTTCACTCACTTTTTTTTTTTCAGGATAATTTATCATGAGCTAGCAAAAATACCTTTACCAAAAAATTAGGTATAATTGGATACTATATTACTTTCATTTCTCCTATTCTAATAAAAAAGATGACAAATATATTCATGCTTATAGTTTTCCAAAAATTCCAGAATTTTTCCTACACAACAGTGGCAGTCATAATAGAATGTTGGGGGGCAGTTATGGATGACCCAAGTGTCGTTTATAAAATCTACTACCGACTCACAAGATTAGGGCACATCTGTGTAGTTAACTGCATTATAAAGAAAACAGGTCCCAGCCCCTGGGGTGTGCTCGGAGCTCATTTTGCATGCAAGGGGTCGTTCCTCGACCAGCACACACTGAAGGATTTTACTGGAAGATGGGTGGCAGGATGGGCTAGAAGCACAGCAGCCTTACGTAGCCCGTGACACCCCAGATCTCCATTCAGAGGATCAGCGAGCAGACTGCAAGGTGGTTATCAAGACACTGACTCCAACATTAGCGGAAGGCTGGACTCCGTGAACCTGAATGCTTTTCAAATCTGAGATTCTGAGAGTAGAAAACAAAACCTTTCTGACAGGCCAAAGTCACAGAGGCATCCAGAGACAAGTAGTAAGTTGCTAGGTAAATGCTTATACACTTTTTTGCACTGTATTTGCATTTATTTGGAGCTCTGAGCTCACACAAGCAGCAGGGACCAGCTACCAAAGTCGTGAATTAGGGTTTTATTTTGAAATATCCAGACATCCTTTGGAAAGTGTTAAGTGAACCGGTTTCCCCATGTAGCCACCACAGCTCATAAGAAAGGGAAACTGTGTCTGCATTTCCACAAGGATGTTCAATGTCACACATCTTCCCCCCACAGCGAAGTGTCCTTGTACGAGTGGTAAAGACTTGCCTGAAAATAAAATAAAGACGAACTTTTAGAGCATAACTAGGAAAAATGAATCGTTATTAGCTTGATTCCTACATCGTAGGTTTTCTTTTTAACCCTCGCCCAAGGATATGTTTTTATTGATTTGATAGAGAGAGGGAGGGAGAGAGATGAACATCGCAGCGAGAAACACCGACTGGTCCCCTCCTGCAGGCACCCTGACCGGGGGCTGAACCCACAACCCGGGCACGTACCCTGAGGGGAATCGAGCCCACCACCTTTTGGTGTACGGATGACTCTCCAACCAACTGAGCCACACCGAGTGGGGCCCTCGTAGGTTTTCTAAGCAACTAGGAGAGTTTTTTGTTAGCAGTGAGTCCAGTAATTGTGTGCCTGAAATTGCATCTATCATCTATCTATCTATCTATCTATCTATCTATCTATCTATCTATCTATCTATCTATCTATCTATCTATCATCTATATCTATCTATCGATCATCTATATCTATCTATCTATCATCTATCATCTATATCTATCATCTATTTATCTATCTATCTATCTATCTATCTATCTCTCTATCTATCATCTATCTATCATCTATCTATCATCTAT